CCCTCCCGCGCTAGCCTAAGGGCCACCTTAGCAAAGCGCATCCCAGGCTGCATAGCCGCACTACCCTACCCAACCATACCACACATAAACATGACACTACCCCCGGGGTTTACACAGACGAGCCGGCGAAGCAAGAAGAGCGCCAGAAGAAAGGGCCCTAGCCGGCGGGGCCCAGCCAGGACAAAAGGAGGTCCCACAAAGCGCCTACACCGGCCGCATTTGCGGTCGGGGTAGACGACGGATGGGGCCCACCTACGAAGGCTGTCCAGGCCTACACGAGATGAGGCAGGATAAAGAGGGATAATCCCCCTCGATCCCAAATCATTGAGGCCAATTTCTAGCCATAGAATAATGGCGCGAAATCATTGAGGCCAATTTCTAGCCATGGAATAATGGCGCGGCGCGCGGTTCATGTTACAATTATTATTCTATATAAGATTGGCAGAACTGGATGAGTTTAATGTTTATTGTTTATATTGTTGGCATCTCTTCATCATTAAAATATGTTGAGCAATTTGCGAATTGTGACAGATGTCAGTTAAGAAGAAAATTTTTAATTTCGAATTAACAGTAATTTTTAATTTATTGCGCAATATCTTGCAAAAATAATGTAATCTTGAATCAGGCTTTGACTTGTGGAGTGTGGATATAGTAACCAATAGTAAATCAATCTATGTGCCCCTTTGGGGCCAATAATTAGAATTGGTTACAAAATGATGAATGTTTAGTTGTAGAGGTATTTAGTCTACACTACACGTTCTAATTGTAACAACCGGTTTTCACCATGTCGTTCCACAACAATCAATTGAATATGAATTTTAATTCAAATTATGAAGCTCATACTTACAACAGTGCTCAAAGTTCGGAATTCTCCAATTTGAGAGAAATACCTAATCAAGTTGTTGATGTGAGATACTCTACTTTAGAGCCTACGGCTCAAGAATTTCATCCTATGAATCAAACGACAGATTCCTCAAATGGAGCTATCAAGAAAACATCTCGAAATGAAAAGAATCAGTATAAAGGCAAAGAAAAAAACAGACGTAGTTGGTATGGAAGTGGTAGAACATTTAATGGTTCGAAACGTGAATACTTTAATAGAAATGAGAGTAGTAAAAACGAAGAACAAAATAATCCTCAAGATTGTGCAAGTTTTTCAGATAAATCAAATCAAGATTTATATGGTGAGGATAATTTACCTACCCATAGTCACAATTCCTCCAAATTTCAGAAAGAAAAAAATTCAGGCCACTCACAATCTAGACATTTTGAGAGAAATCTAGAAGCAAGTAGTAAACAATATGGAAATAGAAATAAATATAAAGAAAATACAAAGTCAGATTACCAAACATCCAATGTTGATAGTTTCCGATCATATGAAAATTCAAATAGGAATTATAGAGGAAGTAGTAGAAGTTATGACAAATTTTATAAAATTAATAATAAATCTGAAAAAAGTAATAACTATTATGAAAAATCTGGAGGAAATGGTACATATGATAAATATAATCGAACTGATAACTATTACGATAGTTCAGGCAGAAGTTATACCAATAATTATTCTTATAGGAAAAATAGTAATAATTCTTTTGAAAGGAGTAATATTGATCAGTTTGAAAATGATAGTTATAAGACACAAAAGAATGAGTATCACATTGATGAGTTTAAAAGTGGTTTTAGGCCATATGTTGGTAAAAATGATAAATACTTAGAAGGAAAAATACGAAAAGATTGGAGGATGCCAACTAATTCCAATAAGCATTCCAAGGATTCTGCAACAAAGATTAAGAAGTGTGAGTAAACCATTTCTTATAATTGTACTTTTAAAGTTTTTTTAACGTACATACAGCAAAATGCATTGTCTCTTGTGGATGCTGTTTATATATTTTAATTCAGATGATGACCTGACCTGATATATGTTTTTATTGCAGTTGATGCAGCATCCCAAAGGGAAAGGTTAGAAGAAATGTTAAATCGCCGACTTCTAGAATGCCTTGTATGCTGTGAAAAAATAAAGCATACTGATAAAGTCTGGAGTTGTTCCCAGTGTTATCACATTTTACATTTACATTGTGTGGCTGCTTGGGCAAAATCCTCCAAAATGGAAAATGGTTGGCGTTGTCCAGCATGTCAAAATATGTGCACCGAAGTTCCAAACCAGTACAAATGCTACTGTGGCAAAACAGTTGATCCTAAATATACTCCAGGAGTTATTCCTCACGGATGTGGAGACATCTGTTTAAGAAAGGGACGAGCCTGTGATCACAAATGCACCATCCTTTGCCATCCAGGCCCTTGCCCTGATTGTGACGTAATGGTTGCCAAATCTTGTGGATGCGGTCTTACAAAACCTGTCGTAAAATGTAGCGCTGATGTAGAAATAGTATGTAATTCCATTTGTAATAAGATTTTAAACTGTGGCATACATAAATGTATCTCTGTATGTCATCCTGGAGATTGTAGCCCATGCTCCGAAAATATAATACAAGAATGTTATTGCGGAAAGCAAGGTAGAAAAGTATTATGTTCGGCTGAATTTTGTGGTAGAACCAAATATACTTGTGAAGATATATGTGAGAAGATTTTAACTTGTGGCAATCATAAATGTCAGAGAATGTGCCACGAAGGTCCATGCGATCCTTGTGCCAGAGATGTTAACCTGGTGACAACTTGCCCTTGTGGTAAAACTCCATTAGATAGAAGCAGAAGTTCCTGTTTGGATCCTATTCCTTGCTGTGATAAGGTAGGTATATCAATTTACAAGAAAAACGAACCAAATTCAAGATTCAAAATCAGTTGCCCTTTCAGTAAATAAAACATTTTAAATAAAAAGTTTTCATTACAAAAAAAAAAATCAATTATTTTATTGGAAGGTATTATTGTTAAATAATAGAACTTCAATATTTTTTGTCAATTGAGAGTGTCAAAATTCCATGATTTTCTAAATAATTTTAGTTTGTACTTTATTCATTAATATACGACTTATTTTTAATCTGACAGCGAGGGGCGATCCGCTGATGTAATCTTCGTACGTTTGCCCTGGAATCTTTATGTAATCTACGTAATCTTATCTGTAATCTATGTAATCTATCTGTAATCTACGTAATCTTATCTGTAATCTTCGCTGTAATCTATGTAATCAGCTAATGAATTTCGTCGATGTAGTCGTTGTACAACGCCCCCCCCCTACCTCATTTTCCAAAGAATGCCACAGAAACCTCGACAGAAACCTATATGGTGCGATTGGTGTGTTCCGAAGGGCAATCCGCCAAGGAAAAAACAGACGAAGATTACAAAATTTCTGAAATCTCTTGTAATGTATCTGCAGATTTCAATATCAATTCAAAAAATATTACAAATTTCATATAAATAATCAAGATTACAACACATTTCAGGAGATTTCAGAGTTATTTTAGTAGATTTCAATGATTACTTAAGATTTCAATAGGATTATTAGAAATTAAAAGAATATTTCAAAATTTCTTAATAAGGTTTCAAGGAATACGGGAAGATTACAATAAGTTTTGAATGTCCATTTGAACAAAAATAATTGAATTAACTTCAAATGTCATTCATTTCATTCATTAACAGTAGTACTTTGATTAAGAATTTCCAGTATCAGGCATTTTTTGGGCAAAAATTGTAACATTCTGATTAAGTTTTTTGTTCGAATGAACGTTAAAAACATTTTGTCATGACAAAAATGATAATGCTATTTTGAAAGTAGGTAAGTATTTTCCCAAAAACTAATAAATAAAAAATATATTAAGCTTTTATTAATACTTGCATTTAATACTTTACTTGTATACAGTGTGTTTAAAAAAGACGCGGCAATATTTAAGGGAGTGATTGCTCAGGTCAGTTTATAAAAAAAGTCCTATAAACATAGGTCCGCAAACGCTTCGTTACCGATCTACAGAATGTGAAATTTCATTAAAAAACAGTAAAAATTAAATTTCTCTAAAACGCAGCCCCTTATTATTACCTACTACAAACAACAGTATGTACCACATTTCAAAAATCAATCAAATTTGATAATTTGAATTTCTTTGTTCAATAATTTAAATTTCTCAATTAAAACAACATTGGGTTTAGGTGCGCAATAAAATGTTTTTTATTTTTTTACTCAATAACGGTGTGACGTACGGTGCGTATAATCTGAGGAAAGCTTTCTTCTTCATAATTGAACAAGGAATTAAAAAATTATATTTTTAGAAAAACCAGCGGGGTCCTATTTTTTTCATTAAAAATAGCTAGTCACTGGTAAGACTAAAAAATCGTTTTGTATTGCAAAGTACGCGTCTGCCATAGCTATTGACAGGCCTAAAATTTCATTATAATATCAAGAGGTTTTGGAGAAATTTAATTTTTACTGTTTTTTTAATGAAATTTCAACATTCTGTAGATCGGTAACGAAGCGTTTGCGGACGTATGTTTATAGGAACTTTTTTTTATAAAATGATCTGGGCAATCACCCCCTTAAATATTGCCGCGTCTTTTTTAAATACACTGTATACAGGTAAAGTATTAAATACAAGTGTTAATAAAAGCTTAAAATATTTCTTATTATTTATTTTTTGGGAAAATGTTTATTTTATGTTACTTCTTTTTTTTTATTTTTATTAGTTTATTGGATTATTATATTTTTATCTTTCAATAAAAATATATACTTACCTACTTTCAAAATGGCGTTATCATTTTTGTCATGACAAAAAGTTTTTAACGTTCATTCGAACAAAAACTTAATCAGAATGTTACAATTTTTGCGTAAAAATGATACTGGAAATTCTTAATCAAAGCACTACTGTTAATGAATGAAATGAATGACAGTTGAAGTTAATTCAATTATTTTTGTTCAAATGGACATTCAAAACTTATTGTAATCTTCCCGTATTCCTTGAAATATTATTAAGAAATTTTGAAATCTTCTTTTAATTTCGAATAATCCTATTGAAATCTTAAATAATCATTGAAATCTACTAAAATAACTCTGAAATCTCCTGAAATGTTTTGTAATCGGTTGAAAGATATTGTAATCTTGATTATTTATATGAAATTTGTAATTTTTTTTTAATCGATATTGAAATCTGCAGATACATTACAAGAGATTTCAGAAATTTTGTAATCTTCGTACGTTTTTTCCTTAGCGGATCGCCCCTCGTCTGACAGATTACAGACAAATTTTGCTTTAACATCTTCGAAGATAATTCCATTTGAGGATAGTATTAATAAAAATAGTAATTAGGTATTGAGAGTGTTACAAAGATAATGAGCAGTGAGGTCGGTAGTGTACTTCCCAAGGGCTTCTAATTCAAGGAAATGCACAACGCCCAAGGACATTGCCCTCTAGCACCTTTGGTGCTTTCAACTATTAATGTTCTACTAGTTAATAAATAATAGTTAATTTGAAATATTTTTATATAAAGGTGCCCGTTTTTTGAATTGACCCATCTTTCTTCATTTCCAAGTTATTAACAAAAAACTGAAAATTTTTGTTTTGTTAAATGAAAAAGAAGATAGGTGGACTTTTCAAAATCAGATATAGTTAGAGATATTTTTGTCACGAATTCAAATATATAGTCGAATTAAACTTGATGTTTACCATGTTGGAAAAATGGCATGCTACTTTTGTTATTCTTATGGATGATGCCATATTTAATTTTCGTATTTTAAAATTTTTTTTTCATTTTGATTATGATGATGTGGTCGTATGATATGGTTTACTCTTTTGTTTTCATTAAAATTTAAAATGGCTATAATGTCAGAAACAAGATAACCGTGAACATAACCTTAAATATTATGTCAAGTGAAGAAGCATTATCTGTTTTGCACAATAAAATGAATGATGTGAAGGTGTCCAGGCTGCAATAGCTCTGGAAATGTGGCAATAGAAAAACAATAGGAAGTTGTTGCATTTTCATGCCAATATATACTTTGATTTCATCCTAATCTATGATTTTGTCAGTCTGATTGTTAGTGATAGCATTGCATGTACATAGGCACATCACACTATATTTAAAACGACACCTCAGTTTAGAGTAATAATGATTGTTTTGTTTTCAAAGCACTTTCTGTAAAAATGGATAATTTAATATTTTGACAAGAACAAGAGCGAATATATAAACACATCTTCATATTCTGAAAAATGTGTTGAATTCAAAAACACAAATATCTAATATGGCACCATTAAAAAAAAAACGAAACGCATGTCATTTCTGTATATTGGTAGGCCCCACTAATACAACTATACTTCAATTACCCACAAAAAGTGCCCTAAGAATGTCTGAGTTGAAAAAACCCACCTCTACATTTTTTATTAAAAAAAATAAATGATAATCTAATTTTCAGTTTTTTCTCCGATAACTTTAAAACAAATAAGGATAGATCAAATTTGTCTTGCTCTAATCTGTATTAACGTCAATTAAGGTTATTTGCAATTTTTATTTTAAATTGATTTATTTCCATTGTAATATATTTTAAATTTGCTCTAGGGCGTTACACGTACATCAAAATAGGGTGATCATTACAAAATAAGAGACTAGTAGGGTGTTAATAAACTATAGTAGAATCGTTTTTGGAAGGTGAAGTGGGTAATAAAATGTTGGTGAGGCATCATTTCATTTCAACTTATACTTGCTTATGACAGGTGGGTGGGTGGTAGCTGTTGGGCCAGCCCAACTTATACCAGGAGGGACGGAAAAGTATATGTGGGGTTTCACCAACTTTTATTACCCACTTCGCCTTCCGAATATGATTCTACTATAATAACAGTCTGTCTTTTAATTCTAAATAAAAAGTGAATGTAACAGAATAGTTAAGTACCTAACTGAAATGATGCTAATTTCAAACCTGCTTTTGTTATTTAGTACATGATAAAAATTAAAATATGAAATAGATATTTTAATGGTTTTGTAGTGCATCATGAGATAATTACGATATAGCATCCCTTTGTTATAATAAAGCAAACTCTGCAAACTCAGCAGTTTTAGAGATATATATATATTCTGTACTTAGAATAATTAGAGCAGTCTTGTTTACCACTCGTGTATGTAAGAACTTCGGAATAAAG